AAGCCGAGCAAAAGATGATGCAATTAGAAGCTAAAGCCGCAAACGTTAACATCGACACATCACATGTAAGAATTCTATATACTGTACACAAAAAGGGTATTTTTAAGAACTGTCCTACGTTAAAATTATACATTGCGATTGTTTCTCACAGACAATTGAATATAGGAAAATTTTGAAAACGTTTAATACTTCTTATTTGATTTATCAAATTCTCCCTCAAGTCGAGTAAAACTCATTAGAAATATTCGAATGTCAGATATGTAATTGCGATAAAACTAGAACTTTTTAAGAATATATCTGATGACAATTAAGTATATATAATATCTATTAAGATAGACATATTGAAGCTAACTGAAGATGTTTTATTTTTCTGTTAACGTGCTAACTAAACCACAACTAGGACTACAATGTAAGCTGCTAAATCAGATAGCTTCAGCTTTGTCAGTTCCATTCGCTTTGGGCTGAGATGTTACGTATGCAAGCCTATTTGTAGCTACATAAATAGTCATAGATGTTTGATGTCTCAGATAAACGTTCGCTATGCAGAGATTTTTAAATGGTCCATTTAGCGAGTGGAACACGTCGATGTTGCTGCTTATTAAGTTCCTCGCGTGCTTCTGTTGGGTTGCAGAAACAACTGGCGCAGTATACAAAGGTGATTAGCCATGTGTGGGACATAGCGAATAAGGCGCGCGAAGATTGGGAGGGCGAAGTTAGTACCAGAGCGACACAAGCTCAGACCAGCAGCGCTGCGGATACTCATGCTCTTCTAGCTGCTGTGGGGATGGGTAAAGGTTTGAAAGTAAGTTACAATCAAAAAAAAAAAATGTATCTGAGTTTTAAACGAGCCATTGTACAGGCATTATTGTTATCCTAATACATCTATCAGATATAATACATTCTTATTTCACGTTCACAGTCTGATTCGATACAAATGGTTCAATCCGGCGTAAATCCAGTAGGTAACAGCATGATGGTGGGCAGACCTGGCAATCAGCAGCAAACGACAGGGCAGGGGCCACTGGGTAATCCACCAAGTAAATATTTCTTCGACAATTTCCTTTTTTTTCTCGCAATTATATATGCTCATAATAATTCAAATTAATACTTTATAGTGGGACAAATGAACAAGGCGCCAAGTGCAATAAAAACCAATATCAAAGCGGCATCACAGATCCATCCTTATAGATAAGAATATTATAACATCTCTGTTATTTAAGATGTATTATACAATGATCGATATTTCAAACACGGTACGTTCCTAATTTTCTAATTTTCCTATAGAATAATTTTAATATAATTTGATTATTGGTGTAATCCTGTAATCTATGATTTTAGTACAAGACATAATGAAAATAGTACACAGTGTGTATGTTGTCGAGAATAACGTCTTTTTTATTAAAAAAGTTTTTTAAATATATTCTCTAGTTTCATATTATAAGTTAAAAATCTTACGGTTTTAAACGCGGTATAAATTGTACACTTTTTATGCTTGATATTTATTAATTAATATTTATTATTATTATAATTTTCAGTATTTGTGAGACACGATCGCGTATGAGCGAGGAGAAATACATTTGTTCATCACAGGCACAATAATAGCCTCCAAGCCTTGTTCATGCAACCAGCATAATCGGTCCTGTAGAATAAATGACTCCGCCGGAAGTTGTAACATCATTTGTAATCCAGTGTAGATTTCTACAGCTTGCAATCTTGTACTCTGTTCCTCCCATACTCGCGTTATGCCCTTCGCCATTTCTTCATGTGTAATTACATTATCTTTATGCATGAAGGCTCCATATTATTTATATATTATTATATGATTTATTAATCTTATAAGTATTAATTTATCAATTACCTGTTTTGTCCGTATCTGGTACTAAATCGTATCTTAATAACGAGTCTTTGACGTAAGTTTGAAAATTTGAACATTGCGACTTTCTTGTGCCTTTCCGAACTTTCTTATTGAGAACGTAATTATCTAGAATTTATGTTCTGTTAATCCATAGAATGTACATACGTTATATGATATTGAATACCTACTTTGTCGTGAATATAATTCGAGGACGGCTCTAGCGAGAACATAAAAGGAATGTTCGTTGTGCTTCTCTTGCGACATTCCATGCCACTTGTCTACCGATTCTTGACACGCTAATCGCAAAAAGGGTATTCTTAAGACCTGTCCTATGTCAAAATTATACGCCACGATTGTTTCTCGCAAACAATTGGATGTAGGAAAATTTTGAAAGTATTGTTTTTCCTGCACACTTTTGGAAATCAGAAGTTTGTGGTAACAACAAGAAATCAGAATGAAAAGTTTAACAGATTTCATTTTGCAGAAGATTCTTGATGCGCTTGTACTGAGGTCTCCACAGGCATGCAGACCGATTAAACATACGTCTGTAACGTCGGGAAATTCTTGCTGCAGAATAGATTCTATTACATCGGCCGAATCACACGTTACGTCGCAATGCGTGTATTTAACTTTAGTCAAAGAATCGGGATACAGTTTTTTCTGTCTAGTGAAAGCTCTGTTAATATTCTTTTTATCTCTTTCTAATCCTAAAACTCGATAGCCGTACAAATAATGTAACATTTGGCATACGTATCCCTGGAAAGAATATTGTATTGCAGCATGAAAATCTGATATATATATATTCATATCTTTTTTTAAAATATTCTCTTACCAAACCCGCACCCAAATCAATGATCGTTCGTATATCATGCGACTTGCATTGTACATCCACTAAATAAGCCAAATGCATTATTTCATGTTGTTTCTTTTCACTTAGACCCATCTTAAAATTTTGCGGCAGTTCTATGGAAGGCAATGCTGGTACGAGTGGCAGTCTATTAATTTTCTTACATTTTGCAACGTATGTTTTTAAGGAATCAGGCCAATCGGACTAGAACAATTAATTCACTTAATAATTTTAATATTCTATTACAGAATATTCGTGAGATTTCTCTTAGCTAACCTTTATTATTTTTTCCACTACAAAATTATTAAGTTCTTCATTTTCTAAAATTTGTAACTGTTCCAGCCATTCTTTGGGGACTGCATCTAAAGACGTTTTAGTTAATATTTCGGTTACTGGTATATTATGTAGCCACTGCGTTTCGTAAAAGAAGCGTAGTGCTTCGATAAAATATTTCTTTTCAGCATCGATATCCATGTATCATTTAACTAAAAAAAAAAAGAAAGCTCATTACGTTTTCACTGGTAGTAAATATATGCTTTTATCTATGTATTTGTATTATATGTAAGAATGAACGAAGGTGAGAAATAAATTGAACAAAATATTTATTTTATATCCCTTAACTGAGATTGTATTTAATATATAAAAATAGCTTAAATTATATAATACTTAACATTATGTATTATTAAGTAACATACATTATTTTCTCAATTGCTAATATTTATATGTCACAGGAAACGCTTAACAGCATCGACACATCTATGGTTCAACGTAAAGAAAACTGTCTTCATTACACGAAAGTAACAAAAATAATTTTTTTACATCTATTAGTCAGTGGCTCGTGCTCTGTCTGTTTCTTCCTGATTTAGCACTAACCAGTTTTCTTTGTGCCTATTCGAAATATCCGCATTTGTAGGTCCAATAAGCGAACGACCGATTCTGATACCATTTTGGTCAGGTTTTAGATATTTTCCTGCCACGTACAAGAGCTCTTCCTTAGTCACAGCTTTTAGCTGCTCCCTTTGCTTTTGAAGATCATCGTCTGTAACGCTGTTTACGAATCTGGTCATACCTCGATTACAGGGAGGAATGGGAGCGTCGATTTGTTGGAAGATTCCCAATTTTGCTTCATCTACTTCGGTCTGGGATAACGGATATCCTATTAGAAAATCATACGCCTTATCGAACAAATCGAAGGTGCGAGTGGAATTCGGGTCTCTGTAGGAATAAAAGGAGAAAATTCCTTCCGACGTTAATTTTGCGCCTCCACCGTAAGCTCCGCCTTTCTCTCGAATTTCTGGATGCAGGTACACCGAGGTGATCAACTTGGACAGCACACGTAACGCCGCATAATCTGGATTCGTATAAGGAACGGTCAGAATGGCCTTGGAGCAATAGTTCACTGTATATGGCAAAACGTGGTGATTGCTGCATTCTTTCGTATCGATGCTTCGGTCACTGGTAATAATGTACGGATTCTCTGAACGACCCTTCAGCGAATCGTAGAACACGCGAATATCATTGAGAACGTCATCCTGGTGTTCCTTGGATAAGTTAATGGCTGACCGTAGGTGTTCCTTGTTCAAGACATGAGCAGCTATTTCATGCATGTTGTGCATCAGAGAAGTCAAGTCGCGTATCTGCGCTACTTTCTTCATCCTCGAGATATACTGCAATCCCGAGAGACTCTCCTTGACCCGGGCTATCGGGGAGACCAAACTAGCGGCGCTGCTCATCGCATACATGTGACCGGCGTGCGAGATACCATTGATCAAGTCGGCCGCGTTCATCTTCACGAGTGTCTCGAATCTCTGAAGGTCGGTGAGTTTAACGTTGTTGAACAGCTCCGTCCACAGTTTCCACATATCGTTCGAATTGCGATCCAAGCAGTACGATTCTATGAGAATCCCTTCCTCGTATTTCAATTCGCTCTCTTTGTGCTCGGCAATGTGATTCATGAAGTTTAGACCACCAGTTTTCAGCTGCATCATCTGATCGAAACTCCTATAATCGTAATTCTGCGTGCCCATCTTCGCAATAACGTAGTTGAACAGCGGTATCAGCTGCTTCAATTCGGTCGGCAGCGCTTGTGTGTTGAGTATTCCTCGGTAATAGGAAATCCCGTTCGTGGGTTGTATGGATAGCTGAAGAGGCACTCCGGATATTTCCAAGTCGGTGGTCTTATATCTTTCCACGTCGGCCTTCAGGTCTTCTATCTTTAGCGTCGGTAAGACTTCAACGTTCTCTTTTTTCTGTTGCTCAGCGAGCAAGATCTTTCCGTTTTTATATACCTGTTCCTTTTCCTCTACGGAAAGTTCCTCTAACTTCGTCTTCAGCAGCTCTTGCTCGGCGAGCGCTTTATTTTGTTCGTAATTTTCATCCGGCGACATCGTCAAAGTCAATCTATGATTATTGTCCCTGAAATAAGTCTCGATTAGACTTTGCAGGTATTTAGGGTTTTCTCTCATTCGTGATGTGAGTTTCTTCATCGCATCGTTGATTCGCAACGACTGTACTAAGTCGCCGTTGTGATTCCACAATGATGTCAGATTGAAGAGCAAATTCAACCCAAAGTTCGACGTTTGATGCTTTACTTGGAGCTCAATGCCGTGCAAGACAGCTTCAATGTGATCCTTCTCGAATCCTTCCTCAATAACTTTCTGCACGGTCTTGTTGAAGATACTCTGGACCTTCTCGAAATCTTCCGGTTTCACGCCCTGCAGACTCACGACGAACATCGTGTCTCTACACTGCGAATCGAAACCTGTGAACGGTCCGAAGCCGGTACTTATATTTGACTCGACTAGAGATTTGTAAAACGCTGAATTTGGACCTCTCAGCAACAGCTGCGACAACACGTACATCTCGAAAGTGGTCTGTGTGTCAGTTATGTCGTTGCACAAATGCGCGATGGCAATGGTGCCATGTCTGCTAGGATCTGCGAGCAGTGGATCGAGTTTGCACGCAACATGTTCCTTTTTAGCTTCGCTCCACCGCTTTTCCGCTGGCACTTCTGACATGGAAACGTCCATCCTGTCAGATAAGAAAAGATACCGATCGTTGATGAATTTCAGATGGTTCTCTAGAGGGAAATTTCCATAGGAATAAAAGCGCGAATTGGAGGGATGATAGTATTTCATGTGGAAGTTAAGGAGATCAACGTATTGCAGATTAGGTATAACAAGGGGATCACCGCCGGAAATTACAGAATATGTGTGGCTTGGTAGAATAGAATTCAACAAGTGTTCTGCCATAATGGCTTGATTGTCATTGAAGACGCCCTTCATCTCGTTGAAGACCACCCCCTTGAATATGATGGGAGAGTTCTTGTCGTTGACGTCCGTGTGCTCCAATCTCCATCCTTCCTGTCGGAAGTCCAATTCTCGCAGATTCGGTTTGAAAACCGAGTCCAAGTAGACTGACTGTAGATTGCGGTAGTCCTTCAAGTTCTGCGTCGAGAATGGATATATGGTATAGTCCGGCCCAGTCATAGCGTTCATGAAAGTCGCCAGGGATCTCCTTAGCATCTTGAAGAATGGATCTCTACAGGGATATCGCTCGCTGCCACACAGAGTGGTGTGCTCCAGTATGTGAGGCAATCCCGTGGAATCCATAGGAGTCGTACGAAATCCAATGGAAAAGACATTGTTGGTGTCGTCCCTGGCCAAATGAAGATACTGCGCACCGGTACTCAAGTGCGTCAGCCTCACTGCAGTAAGGAACAACTCATCTATGCTTGAGACTTCATCCACTATAAACCCGTGAAGAACTTCACCCTTCTTGAATTTAGCCAGTTCATCCTGCACCAGCTCCTTTCTTGAATGCAACGTACTCGATGTAGCACTTATCGATGATCTGAAGGTACGATATGTAACATGCTGCTGTAAAGCTGTGCCTCTCAAAAGCGAATTCCTCGAT